TCAGGAGTAGATAAGTAAGCTATCATATATAGAATGGATAAGCAACAAGGTCCTACTGTATAACACAGGTAACTATATTCAGTATCCCATGATAAACCATAATGGAAAAGAATATGAAAAAAAAGAATGTATATATTTGTGTAACAATCGCTTTGCTGTACAGCAGAAATTAACACAACAATGTAAATCAACCATACTTCAATATAAAAGAAAAAATGAGTAAAGGAAACAGGGGAGGGGACGGCCAAGATCCCCACCAGGACAATAACAAAGGCTCAAAACACTCCCAGTTATTGAGCTGAGCAGTGCCATGACTTCTCCCGCTCTTGGAAACACAGAAAGTGGCTTATTAGAAATCAGGCAGCAGGCACACAACCTCTGAAAGGTCCACAAGGGAGAGAGAGGGGGAAACATCACTCTATCATGTCTCCCCTGGATCCTTGGTTTTATAGTTCGGGATTTATGTCCTCATTTATTCTGTGTCTGGTCCCCTAAAGGACGTAAGACAATCGCGATTCTGTATGAGAACCATGCACGGGATTTTTTGAGGGAAAAAAAAAAAAAATTCAGACTTTCAAACTAATTCAGATGAAGGTGGTTATAAGGGGAAAGAAAAAAACTGGAGAAATGAGGCACAGTAATAGCAAGGAAATTTTTACTCTATGCCTTTTATATGTTTGGTTTAAAGCCTGAAAATGTGATATTTATTCAAAAAATAAATTAAAAGTTTGAATGTATATCATTAAACACTCCCAGATGACTTTGAAAGCAAATCTTTTCCCAGCCTAAGGTACCATCTCAGGAGAATACAAGCAAGCATTTCATCGTCAGGATGAACAATTCCTTCAGTCTTTCGAACGTCAAACCTCTTTAAGCATATTTTCTGGAGCTGAGCATTTTCGTCTGATTCCTTCTCCCTGTGGGCATTAAAATCCTAACTTAAGAACCCAAGGATTAACCAAAGAAATTAGAGACCCTCTTCGTGAGTGGGGGATTCCCGACAATCACAAAGCTTAAAATCTTTTTAATTATCTCTGTTAATTGACGGGATAATAAGCATCGATTCTACATACATGTGTGTTGGCCGCATCACAGAAATTACCCGTCATGTTTTATTCATGCAGGGGCCGCAGGCTGCTCCAGTGACCAGTAGAAGCAGTTTTCCCTCTCAAGCAAGCGTCAGAAAGGTCTGCAAAATGACAGTCAGCAGTGGAAAATGAAAGGCTCTCACTTCTTCTCCCATTACATGGTAAGATAATTAAAGCCCAGACCAATAAAACATCGAGCATTCTTATTCAGAAATCCAATTTTCACTACATAAGGGCAGGTAGTTAAATGCTTTAAGCCATCTGCTGGCAACTTCACCAGCTCGGCCCATAGCAAAGCCACGTTTTTGTTTTTGTTTTGTTTTTTTCATGTGGTTTTGCCAACAATGACCAACCAAAGAGAGGAGAGGAGTCTGACAAGGGAGCCCCTTGCATTGTTGACAAGCTTGGGGCCCCAGTGCCTGCTGGCTTGTGGATAACAAATCCAAAATAACTGTTTGATTAAAAACAGACGGACGAAAAAGATATCGCATAAAATATGTAACGTGTGAGGGTCAAATTCTGCTACGTACTAACTGTATTTTCAGAAAGCCTGAATCTCTACCCTTCTGTGGGAGTGTGCTGGCCGTCACCATAGGGGTTTAATAGCAGGGTCCCGTTATAAAGACAGGATCATCCCAATGCCGACCATTAGGGCATCACAACAGCACAGACATACAGAAATAGGTTGACAAAATGTAGATACCAAAGTTATTATAGAGGCTAAATAAATAAATAAGGACCCAGCTACACAGTATGTGGAGGCAACTGGGACACTGACCGGGATGCATGGAGTTCCATAAAGGCGGGTACCGTTACTGGCAAAGAAGCATCGTGAGTGAGGGTATATAAGCTGTAGGTATCAGGTCCGAAAACAGGCTCTTGGGCAGGTTACTTAAGCTCTCTGAGCTTGTTTGTTATTACACTGCAAGTATTTAAATAAGCTAATGTTTCTAAAGTTGCCCAGGGACTTCCATTTCTGGGAAGATGGAGTAGACATATTTTCCCTAATCCTCCTACTAAGTACAGCTAAAAACCCTGGACATTATACGCAAAACAAACACAAGTGTAAAAGGTGGAGGAGAGAAGACAGACTTAAGGGACTCCAGGATTCAAACCACAAGGCACTGGATTCCCTGGGGTTTCTTTTTGCAACATATATCCCAGGCCGCCCCGCGGCATGTGGGATCCTCCCGGACCGGGGCACGAACCCACATCCCCTGCATCAGCAGGCGGACTGTCAACCACTGCACCACCAGGGAAGCCCCAAACATTTTTTTAATGTTTTTTCCAGATGCTTTGACACTGTGTGTAAATAGTCTATGTTCCATGATACTGTGAAATTCAGGTATAGGGGAAAATGATATATTATCACCTGAACTGTCTGTAAATACTGCTATGCCTTTTTTTTTTTTTTTGGCTGCGTTGGGTCTTCGTTGCTCCGCGCGGGCTTTCTCTAGTTGCGGCGAGCGGGGGCTACTCTTCGTTATGGTGCACGGGCTTCTCATTGCGGTGGCTTCTCTTGTTGCGGAGCACGGGCTCTAGGCATGCAGGCTTCAGTAGTTGTGACACGCAGGTTCAGTAGTTGTGGCTCACAGGCTCTAGAGCACGGGCTCAGTAGTTGTGGCGCACGGGCTTAGTTGCTCCGCGGCATGTGGGATCTTCCCGGACCAGGGCTCGAACCCGTGTCCCCTGCCTTGGCAGGCAGATTCTTAACCACTGCGCCACCAGGGAAGCCCTGCTACGCCTTTTTGATCCTAAGTTTGATTCAGTCTTGAGGAGAAGGTTATGAATAAACCTGATTCCCAGTATTTTGCTTCCATCAGCACCATCGTCATCACCATCATCATCATGCTTCTCGCCCATTTGTTTACCCCACCCTCCTATTCCAGTCTCTGCCCCAAGAGGTTGATTTCTCAGACTCCACCTCCCAGGCCTCCTTCCTGCTGGTTCCCTGATTGGTTTGGTCAACGGGAGGCACAGGCTGGAGATCAGAGCCTGGGGTATCTCTTCCCCACTCCCTCCCTGATTTGCCTCATTTGTAGCCGCGGCTGTCTCCCTTCATCCACGACTTCTGTCAAGTGGCCCCTGCTCCAAGAATCCTGCCCTCTCTGGGCTCCATCATCTGATTTCCTCTCCTTGCTCCTTCAGGACATGAGTGATAAGTCTCCCATCGCTTCTAGTCTCTGGGTGCCTTGACATCCATGTTTATTTTCCTAACTGTGACCGCTGAGTGATCCCTTCATGGGTGTCTCTGATGCCATCCGAGTTAGAGTCTGTGTCCTGCCAGGATCCTGATGACACGTCATCTCTACTGTCATCTTCTCTGTGTCTATTATTGATTGCTCCCTGTGTATCAGACACTGTGCTTTCCATGAGAAACGTATTTCCATGAGGAAAGTATTATTTTATAAATGAGAAAGTAGACTTAGCCATTTTAAAGATCTTATCCCAGGCAACACAGATAGATAGTAAATGGCAGAGTCAGAATTCAAACTACTCCAGAGCCTCTTTTTAACCACTGCCAACAGTTCTGCAATACAGTCCATGTCAGAATCATCTGGCGTGTTTCTTACAAATCCAGATTCTCAGAAACCTACTCAGAGCTCTCCGCTGAGGAAACCAGCTGTTGGTTTTAACGTGGGCAGTGAAGCTAGCTTAGTGTCATCACCTGCTCCGAGGGAGCTAATTGCATAGGTTAACTGACAACCGATGGGGCGGGCTGGCATTAAAACTCTGACCAGTACGGGCAACAGTAATTAGTGAGATCAATCAAACTCTCTCTCCCTCCCGTATTTAAATGAAAAATGCTAAGGAAATTAGTCGGGAGGTAGAGGGAGGACAGAAAAGAAAACCATAAAGAGAAGCAGGCCATTAATGAGCAAGTGGAGTGGCCATATGCTGGAGCAATGACCAGTGATGCAGTAATGACAGCAGTGTCCCTGGAGCCAAGCAGAAGCCGGAACAATGACTATTCCTGGCTTCTCTTGAGATCTATCTCCTCTCACCCATCAACTCACCAGTGATCTAAGTAATCGCTGGTCATGTCTTCCCTGACCCAGACTCATTTGACTGAGCTGACATCCCCCAGCTTTTACAGAGCAAGCTCTAAGCAAACACAAGAGAAATAGCCTTCCTACTGGTCTTGCTGAATTTACTCTGTTCGTTTCTCTAAACCATTGTTCACGCTGAAGACTGAGTGACGTCTCCAGACTGTAAATCTAAGTTTATCAGCCTCCTTGCCTAAAACTCACAAATGGTTTCCTATTCTCTTGACATAAAGTGAAAATTCCCTACCGTGGCCTCCCAGGTCCTGCGTTGTCTAGTCACCGTGCCTCCTCTTCATCCTCACCTGGAGCCTCCCTCCCCCTCAGCCTCTCTGGTCCAGCTACCCTGGCCTTCTTTCAGTCCCTCCCAATCACCACACTCCCTCCTGCCACTGGGTTTACCACAGGCTGTTCCATCTGCCTACAATGTGGATCCCTTGCCCTTTCACCTACTTCATTCCATCCTACTCGGCATCAAACATCACTTCCCCAGGGGTGTCTCCCTCACCTCCCTGACTGACAGCAACCTCATAGCATCCCCCTTGCACGGTATGGTCACAGGGGTGACTTCTTTTGTGATTACGTGATTAATATCAGTCTTGACCACTAAGCTCTCTGGGATCAAAGTCCATGGCTGAGTTTTCTCACTGTTGTGTCCCCAGTACCTTGTACGGTGTCTGACCCACAGCAGACACTCAAATATGTGTTGACTATGGCATGACTGGTTTAATGTCTGCCTGCAAATAACACTAGGGAAAGGCTCTTCTACAAGGGCCACTGTATAGTTGCCATGGAACGAATGACAGTAGTAACAGTGGGCAAGTCACTGTCGCTTAGGAAGGGCCAACACACAACAGGAGAGCAGAGTATGCATGGCTGTATGCACGGTACCCAGGACCAAGCACTCCACTTGGAAGGGGAGCCCAACCCTTCTGCAGCCGCAACATCTACTTTAGCACCTAGGACAATGCCCAGAAGGTCAGTGGCGCTTGGCTGTCCTTTATCGAGTTTCATTTAAGCTTGCAGGTCTATTTCCAGAGCTCATGGCTACAACTTGGTAGCCAAAATGGTGCCAGTTTGGTGCCTGTTACCCACCTCAATCCCGCTTTCAACTGAGTTGGAAAATTAAAGAGAACAAATTTGCAGCTTTGATTGCAAACTGAAAAAGTGATACAATTAACACAAATGTCTTTGATTGCCTCTTGAAAAACATTTGTAAATCAAAATTGGTAATGCTTTTAAGGGTATGACATATGCTTTCAAATTATCCATGAGAGAGGGGGGTTGTTTCCGATCATGCAAATGTGTGAATTTATGCCTAATAAATGAAAAATATTCTTCCTTACGTAATTCCCTTTAGGGGACCTGCTTTAGTTCAAAAAAGTTTTTGAACACTTGACAGGTGCCAGGTATTCTGCTGGGCCAGGGGTAGGAGTTATGGAGAATCTGCAGAACTCTTGCTGTCAAGGGCCTCACGCTCTGATGGAGGAGATCGTGGCAAAAGAAAATAACACGAGCCATGTTGCAAGTGTACGTCGTGTAAAGTGTACGTGGGATAAAGTGCACATCCTTTGTCCTATGAAGGAGATAAGGGTACAGAGTGTTTTTGTTTGTTTGTTTTGTTTTTTTGCGCTGTGGCCCCTCCCGCCGCAGAGCACAGGCTCCGGACACGGAGGCCCAGCGGCCACGGCCCACGGGCCCAGCCACTCCGCGGCACGCGGGACCCTCCCGGACCGGGGCACGAACCCGCGTCCCCTGCATCGGCAGGCGGACTCTCGACCACTGCGCCACCAGGGAAGCCCTTGTCTGCTTTTTATAAGGGAGCAGCAAGGTCCATCTCCCTGCCTCCCATCTGGTCCCGTTCCACTCTCCTTCCCATATATCAGGTGGAATAACTTCCCCAAATGCAGATCTGATCATGCCACCCCTTTCCTTCCCACTACCCTTAGGCTAACAACCTGGGTCCGTTCTAAGGCTCACTCCAAGTGCTCTGGTCCTGACCCGTGACTGCAGCCTCCTCTTCCACCACTCTCTCCTTCCCTCTCCATGTTCCAGCCATGCTGTTCTTCCTCTGGTTCTTCAATCTTGCCATGCTTTCTCCCGCTTCCAGGGCTCAGCACGCACTGTTCCCTCTGCTTGGAACACTCTTCCTCCTTCTTCACCTAATGATTCATTTGGTTGAGATAAAATACCATTACCCTGACCTGTAGACTGGGTTAATCCTTCCCTGCCCTCTGTATGCGCTCTGCCATTGCTCTGTATTGAATCACGGGTTGAACATCTGCCTTCTGCGCTAGACTCTAAGCCCCAAGAGTGTGGGAACATCTCAGTCATTCACTGATGCGTCCCCACGCCCTAGCACAGTATGTAGATTCTTAGGTAGGCTAAGCTGCTGGAACAAATAACACTTCAAATCCTCAGTCTTTTACAGAACAAGAAGTTATTTTTTTCTTTTTCATGTGACAGTTCAGAGTCAGGGTTCCAGGTGGATGGCAGTCCTACTCCATGGCACCATGTAGGGACACAGGCTGATGGGGCTTGTGGCTTGCAAAGTACTCCTGATAATTTCTGTGTTAATTGGCTGGAAACAGGAAAGGGCACGGGAAGAGGCTGCATAGAAGGCAACCACTTCTCTTCTGCTCCTTTTCCATTGGAGGGCATTTGGTCATACGGTCACAAAAGGCTGCACAAAAGGCTAGGATATGTGGGCCAGCCATTGCCGAGTATTGTACTTCTTTACCATGTGACAAAGGGAGAAAGGATTTTGAAAGACAGATGGCAGCTCCACCAGAATGCTCAGGGCAGATTTACTGAAAATAAATTAATTTTTAAATCATTATATTGCTCTACTTTAGATGCTGACATCAATACCCAAACTCCTAGAATCATTATGTTTCTATCATTTTGTTGGCAGCATTTCAATATCCAAACAACTGGCTTTAATAAAAGGTAAGGCCTGGTGTGACAGAGATGTATGTGTTTCTTCTCTACCATGAGAGCATGCCAAGAGTTAATAGGACACCAAAGAATGCCAACGATGTAAGAGAACTTGTAGATAAATCATCAAGCATTTATGATGTTCTTTTTATTCTTGTTTTTATTTTTTTATAAATTTATTTATTTTGGGCTGCATTGGGTCTTCGTTGCTGCGCGCGGGCTTTCTCTAGTTGTGGCGAGCGGGGGCTACTGTTCCTTGTGGTGTGCAGGCTTCTCATTGCGGTGGCTTCTCTTTGTTGTGGAGCATGGGCTCTAGGCATGCAGGCTTCAATAGTTGTGGCTTGCGAGCTGTAGAGAGCAGGCTCACTACTTGTGGCACACAGGCTTTGTTGCTCCACGGCATGTGGGATCTTCCCAGACCAGGGCTCGAACCCATGTCCCTTGCATTGGCAGGCGGATTCTTAACCACTGCGCCATCAGGGAAGTCCCTGATGTTCTTTTTAAACATTTGGGAATTGAGGTCCAGTGGTAGGAATTAGCTCACCCAAATTTAAAGGCCCAGCTATAATAGGAGCATGGATCCCTGACTCCTAATTCAGTGTTCATCCCACCATGGCCAGTTGGCCCTCCATGGGCAGTATCCTCAGTGTGTCCAAGTCAGCATCTGACTCATAAACCTTCAGTGGTATTCAGGATGCAATCAGTCCCCAACTGCCTCTGTTGATTGATCAAGACATAGTGTGGCAAACTCCCAAGGTGTAAACATTTGCCGTCAGCATTCCATTTTATAGGTAAAATATTTTTAGAGCCAACAATGCTGTCATGGAAATAACAGTATAAGAAAAAATATACTCATACACTGGGATCATTATCTTATTCCAAAACATGTGGCTTCTTTATAGAGTAACAAGCACAGCTGGATTCTATTATATTGCAGTTATTTTTCCTCCTAGATGGCTGGTCTATGTCTCCAGAGGAGATGCTTTATATTTCTATTGAAATAAATCTTCATCTTGGTGAGAATATTATTGTTACACTGTCACAACACAAGAGACCTATGATTTCTGTTTCACAATTTCAGGCACTTTTGATAATGTCAATGACAAAATATCATGTCCATGACATGATAAATACCCATGACATTTCTCATATAACAGCCTCCTCTGAGAGGCTGAGGGGGGAGTGTAACTCTCTCTCATCCACACTGCCCACCAATACACAGACACACAGACACACAGACACACACACACACACACATCATTCCTGGCACCAGACTCCTTACAGTAGACAACTGGGCCACATTATTCCCATGCCTTAAGAAAACACAGGATAAATATGGCTCATCTTGCCAGAATGTATTTTATTCAATGGTAATTTTAAGTGTTATTCCCTGAAATCAAGCAGGGCTAGATCATGGAATAGAAGTCAGTACCAACCCACATTTTCACTTCTGGCTGTTTGGGCTTATGCCCTTGATCTCTTGGGGGAGGTGGATAGAAATGGGTGTTGAGTACATATTTGCCTGTCGCATCCAACGTAGTTTTATCGTGGAAAAGTTTGAAAAGTGCTAGAGTATTGGGGAAACTATCGATCTAGCAAGAAAACAGAAGAGATCTAATTTTTAGTTCTGCCATGTACGACTGATGCATACTGGGAAAAACCACGTTTCTCCTGTAGGTCTTCATTTCTTTGTTTGAAAAAATAACTAATATTAAGAAAAGTTCTAAAATGAGGTGATTCTGACACTTTGCTGTACTGAGGTTTGTGTTTCTACTACACTAAAGTGTTAGGAACTCACTAGATGAAATGTTTCACATTTTAGGTTCCACTTTCCAGGGCAAGTGAGGAGAAAGAGGCAGGGATTGTTCTCAAGTTCAAGTCAGCTCAGTTCAGCACATGTCTATGCTAAGGCCTACAACACGCCAGGGCCTGGGAATGAATGCAATGATAAATAAGATGCAGTGACTGCCCTCAGGGAACATACAGTCTAGAGCTGCACTGTCCCATATGGTAGCCACTAGCCACCTGTGGGTATGGAACACTTAAAATGAGGCTAATTTGAATCCAGTTGTGCTGCAAGTTTAAAATATATGACAGATTTAAGAGACTTAGTAGAAAGAAGTGTAACGTATCTGAGTAATTTGTTCATGTTGATGACATGCTGAAATGATATTTTGATAAATCGGGTTAAATAATATATTTCTAAAATAATTTTATCTGAATCATTTTACTTTTTTAATGTGGCTACTTAGAAAAAAATTCATTATAATTCGGGCTCGTATTACATTTCTTTTGGACAGCACTGATCTAGAAGGTAATTGAGACAGATAAACAGTGTTTCAGTCTGAAGGTTATGACAAGCTTATGTTTAGGGAAGTAGAAAAGCACAAAGGAGGGGCAGGTAGCCCTATCCCAGGGTTTGGGAAAGAATCCTGCAGGATACACTGCCTGCAAAACGAGATCTAGAGGTATCATGCATCACAGTGAGGAAACAGACTGTGTGACCTTAAGCAAGCTACTTAACCTCTCTGTGCTTCAGTTTCCTCATCTATAAAGTGGAGATGATACTGGAACCCACCTCGGAGGACTGATGTAAGAATTAAATGAGTCGAATCATATACACCCCATAAAGAAGTGGCTGGCATACAGAGCGTGGGCTCCATAATCGTCCATCACAATGCAAGCTCCAGGAACCAAGGAGTTGTTCTCTTTTAATATTGCTCTGTCCCCAGAACTAGGACAAGGCCCGGCAATAAGTACTTGCTGGGAGGACAGAGTGTGTAAGGAACTGCAGACAGTTTAGTATTATTAAAGCATAAAAAGCGAGGTAGGAGCTAGCAGGAAATGTAGACGTGATGTGCCTGGATTCACACCCCCCACCCGCCTTCCAAAGGCAAGAGAGGCAATAAAAGACCCAAGAAGAAACATCAATCCTTTGCATTTTTAATGGCGCTTCGCTCTTTACAATATGCTTTCACATATTCGCCCACAGCTCTGTGAGGCAGGCAGGGCAGGAATTAGGAGGCAACACACTGAGTTTATTAAGGGAAGAACCCAACCATAAAAAGAGGAAACCAAACAACGCCTCACAAAGTCTCATCAGTATTGGTAGGATAAGCGGAGTTCGTTTTTATCTTTTATTTTCAATTTTTTTCTAGTTCGGTTTTTACCACGAGCATATGTTATTTTACAGTCAGGGAAAATGCATGCTGTGTTAAAATGAATGGAGGAGAAGGAAGAGAAGTGGGCTAGTCCAGATGGAGTCCCCATTTAGAGAGCCGTCAGACCTGAACTTCATCAGAGGACTGGGGAACGTCTGGTTCCGCAGCCTCCATGGAGATGCCCTTAGAAGGAGTTATTCCAAAGTGGCAGATCTTTCTGTGGCCTTTGAAGGCAGACAGACTTTCGAATCTTTCCTCTGCCACCCGGGAGCAATGTGACCTTAAGATTCTTAATCTCTCCATGTGTCAGTTTCCAATACGTAAAATAGAGACACAAATAGTACCTACCCTTCTGGGTTTATGAAGCATTAAATAAGCTTATGTTTGAAAGGCATCTGGCACATAGTAAGCAAGAAAGGTATCTAGGGCTTCCCTGGTGGCGCAGTGGTTGAGAGTCCGCCTGCCGATGGAGGGGACACGGGTTCGTGCCCCAGTCCGGGAAGATCCCACATGCCGCGGAGCAGCTGAGCCCGTGAGCCACGGTCGCTGAGCCTGCGCGTCCAGAGCCTGTGCTCTGCAACGGGAGAGGCCACAACAGTGAGAGGCCCGCGTACCGCAAAAAAAAGAAAAAAAGAAAAAAAAGAAAGGTGTCCATCATTACTTGCAAGCTCACTCACAGCTTGGAAGCTCACCCGTTCCTTTCCAGAAGGGCACAGCCAGGAGAGGAAGAGGTTACTGTTCCCCATGAGAAGTCTCAGACCCAGCAAAACAACCCATACTAAAGCCCTGTCTAGTTATTCTGGGTTATGAATAAATAAACCAACTGGTAAAAGTTACAGAACGGACATTTACCTCCAAAGGAATTAAGGTGTTTCTTCTAAGCACTTTGCTTCTTAAAAGCAAGACTATTTATAGGGGCTTCCCTGGTGGTGCAGTGGTTGAGAGTCTGCCTGCCGATGCAGGGGACACGGGTTCGTGCCCCGGTCCGGGAAGATCCCACGTGCCGCGGAGCGCCTAGGCCGACGAGCTATGGCCGCTGAGCCTGCGCGTCCGGAGCCTGTGCTCCGCAACGGGAGAGGCCACAACAGAGAGAGGCCCGCATACCGCAAAAAAAAAAAAAAAAAAAAAAAAAAAAAAGCAAGACTATTTATAAACAGAGTTTATTCTTTAGCTGCTTAAATGCCAAGTTACCGCCATACAGCTCCTCACCACCTCAACCCCACCTTCCAGGGAAGGGAGACATGAGATAAAAGAAATATGCCATCTCCTTGTTTTTGATGAGCAGGAAAATTTTAGGTAATTGAGGAAAAAAATCCCAATTTTACTTTTTTAATTTATTTATTTTTGGCTGCATTGGGTCTTTGTTGCTGCGCGCAGGCTTTCTCTAGTTGTGGTGAGCGGGGGCTACTCTTCGTTGCGGTGTACGGGCTTCTCACTGCAGTGGCCTCTCCTGTTGCGGAGCATGGGCTCTAGGTGCGAGGGCTTCAGTAGTTGTGGTGCATGGGCTTCAGTAGTTGTGGCACGCGGGCTCTAGAGCACAGGCTCAGTAGTTGTGGCACACGGGCTTCTCACTGCAGTGGCCTCTCCTGTTGTGGAGCACGGGCTCTAGGCGTGCGGGCTTCAGTAGTTGTGGCTTGCAGGCTCAGTAGTTGTGGCGCACGGGCTCAGTTGCTCCACAGCATGTGGGATCTTCCTGGACCAGGGCTCGAACTCATGTCCCCTGCACTGGCAGGCGGACTTCCAACCACTGTGCCACCAGGGAAGCCAAAAAATTCCAATTTTAAATGTGGGTTTCAGGATGTGGCAGAAGTGAAGGGAAGAGGTGGATAAGGGTAGGAGGGAAAAGAGCTAAAAATTGAATGCAAAGAAGCAGGGAACTTTCTGAGTCTGGGATAGTAGTCTAGATGGAGAGCCAGCCACTGGACTAGCAGACAGAAGCCACAGGTCAGGATGGGACTGAGGATCAGAAACCAAAGAGGAAATCAAGGAGTAAGAAGCTAAGGGCACGGATTCTGCAGACGTTGATTCGACAGATTCGTGAAGCACCTCCTAGATCCTAGGCACTGTTCTGAGTGCTGAAGTTTCCACAGAAGAGAAGACAGGCAAAACATTCCTGTCTTCTTAAGGCTTATGTTTTCAACATGGATTCATATTCAAGCTCTGCCACTTATTAATGTGTCCTCAGCAAGATCCTATCCTTTCTTCATCTATACGATGGTATAATCATGGAGAGACATACAGTGTTCATGGGTTGGAAGAGTCAACATAGTAGATATCAGTTCTCCCCAAGTTGCTCTCTAAGTTTAATGAAATATAACAACATTCAAGTTGTTTTAAAAAAAAAACAGACAAACTTATTCTCAACTTTATGTGGGAAGGGGACTAAAATAGTCAAAACTGTAAACATCTCAAATGTCCTTTGGTGGTGAATGTGGTACATACATATCATGGAATACTACTCAATGAAAAGGAAAATACCATCACTACATGCAACAACTTGGATAAAATGCAAGGGAGGGGCTTCCCTGGTGGCGAAATAGTTAAGAATCCGCCTGCCAGTGCAGGGGACATGGGTTCGAGCCCTGGTCCAGGAAGATCCCACGTGCCGTGGAGCAACAAAGCCTGTGTGCCACAACTACTGAGCCTGTGTGGCCAAACTACTGAAGCCCGTGCACCTAGAGCCCGTGCTCCACAGCAAGAGAAGCCACGACAATGAGAAGCCTGCCCACTGCAACAAAGAGTAGCTCTGCTCGCTGCAACTAGAGAAAACCTGCTCGCAGCAACGGAGACCCAACGCAGTCAAAAATCAAATAAATAAATTTATTTTTTAAAAAACGCAAGGGAATCACAACATTGTAAAGCAACTATACCCCAATAAAAAAATAAAAACAGAAAAAAAAAACTCAAAGGAATGATGCTGAGTTTAAAAAGCCATTCTCAGAGAACTTCTGTATGATTCCATTCACAGAACATGTGTTGTTTCATAACATGAAGATGGAGAACAGATTAGTGATTGCCAGGGGTTAGGGATGGGGGAGGGGGCAGGTAGAAAGATTGGCTGTTACTATAAAGGGTTACTATGAGAGAATCTTATGTTGGTGGTACAGTTCTGTATATTGATTGTGGTGATAGTTACACAAAGGTACACATTTGGTAATATTGCCTAGAACTACACACACACGCACACAGAGGATGAGGGAATATGTAACTGGTAAAATCTGAACAAACTGTGGATTGTATCAATGTCAGTTTCTTGCTATAGATGTTGTACTGTAATTATGCAAGATGTTTCTTGGGGGAACAGGTGTGGGAGATTGTTTTTGCGTATTCATTGGCAATTTCCTGTAAATTTATAATCATATCAAAATAAAAAGGTTAAAAATACAATAAAAATTTAAATGGTATAATAATCCGTATGGTGGTTATGAGAAGTAAATATACAATTTATTAAAGTATCTGGCACACAATAGATGCACAATAAATGGCAGCTCCAACTTCCTATCCCAACCAGATTGCTGCTTACACACATGTCCTTGACTTGCTCTAGCTTGGAGCAAATAAGTGGGTACTCTTGAGTGGGGGGCAAAAAAGAGTTATCCATTTGCGGGACCAGGAAGTCCGAATGCCTCAAGCTTCGGCCTAATTGTGGGTGAAATGACACGGGGGGATGGAGAGGACACACATTTCCTCATGCAAGAGAGAGAGAGGCCAACACATTGATTAGAATGCTTTGGCAGATGTTTATATACACCCTTTACCGTTTAGTCGGATTCCTGTTCAGAGATACAGTAAAAACTGAGAAGGTCCACAGTTGTTTTCCCTTCATCCATTCCTCTTAACTCTTGTCATTCCATCTAACTTTTTTTTAAATTTTTATTTTATATTGGGGTATAGTTGATTAACCATGTTGTGTATTGAACTTTAATTAAAAAAAAAAAAAAAACTAAATGCTTAAAATCTTTTAATGCCCTCTCTGTACATCTGATGGAAAATCCTGATTCCTTTCCAGAACCTAGGAGCCCTGGATGGTCTAGCCCCTGCCAACCTTTCTAATGAAACACACTTTCAGCCTCTAGACTCCAGCCGCAACTGTCTCCTTTCAGCTCCTCCAATGTGCCAGACTCCTGATCTGAGCCTTCACATATGCTGTTACCTGAGCCTGGAACACTCAAAACAACCCTAATCCCAGGCTGACCCACCCCACCCTTTAGATGGCAGGTCCTTCCCACCGTATTGGTCTTAGCTTAAATATTAATCTACTTATATAGTAGATGCCTCCAAGACAACCTATCTCAGTACTTTTCCTCTGAGACCTACTGTGTAATTTTCTATTTCTTCTGTTTCTATACCTTCTTTGCCTCATACAAGTTGCAATTATGCATAATATATGTGTATATGGATAAATAAATAATTGTGAAATATGTATAAAACAAATATATGTATACACAGATATCCTCTTGATTATTATTTATTACCCCACTAGATTGTAATATAGATGAGAGCAGAGGCCACATCTGGTTCTGTCACTTCTATGTGCTGAACAGCTCAGAAAGTACCAGAAACACAGTAAGTGCTCGATACAAAAGTCACAAATATCTGACTGATCATCTTTCTTTGAATCCATGATTGTTGCACTTTACCTGGGCAGAAAGCTGTTGGATTTTGTTTTCTCTTCTTCCTATTCATTCATTAAACAGCATTTACTGGCGCCTACTACATAGCAGGCATTTGTGCTGGTCACTGGGAATATAGTGATAAAAAAAGCTATGATCTCTGGCCTCATGGAGCTTGTATTCTAGTTAGAGAGAAAGATGATTAAACATGCAATAAGTGTAAAGCAGGAAAAGTTCTATAATAGGGGATGTATTGGGGACTGAGAGAACAGAGAGGATAAGATTTTTCTTCACTGTCCTTCGTGCACTTCTCAGAGTTCACTATGTGCTACCCACTGGAAGGGACTGAGCTAGTACCATCCTTTCAAGGAATTTAAATCAGAGAAACCAGCTAGATCACTGTGATTGAGGCCATGATTCAAAGAGATCCCTTGTCTATCATGATATCAAAGGACTTGTCCTGGATATCATTCTCCTTTATCACACTGGCATGTGGTGATGCTCTATCTGACACAGAATATAAACTCCACAAGAGCAGGACTTTGTCTTATTCAATGAGGTATCCTTAATGCCAGGGACTGAGCCAAGCACACGGTAGATGCTCTATAAAGATTTGTTGAATAACTGAATGAAATTAACACGTCGGAAGACCAAGGCTTAGAGAGGTCAGGTGTTTTCCCAAGGTCACAGGGGAAGAGGGTGATAAATCTCATCCTAATTCTACTAATTCTAATTGCTACTGAGGGACTTTTGTTCTCCATGGTTTAAAGGTCAAGGATCAGACTCCCCCATGTCCCACTCCCAGATAGGTGGCAAAGAGCCCAAGGCCAGGATCACATTGACACAAACCTTCCATCCCTGTTCCCTAAGTTCCCCTGGAAGGTAGAGCCTCATGTCTGGGGAAGGGTCATTTCTAACCTAGGCTACACAGTTGTACATTTCTTCTTTCACAGCTCTACGCAATGGTTCAGATCTGGAAAAAGCCATCGCCACTGCCGCTATGATTTTCAGAAACTTTTCTGACCCTGATGGCAAACTTGGGAAAGCTACTGCCAAAAATCTACTGCAAACCCAATATAGGAATTTCACAGAGGTAAGAGAACTAATAGGTACCAAGAAACAGGGGGCCACGCCATAACGGCTGGCCCAAAGAGTCAACAACTCCAGCTCGAAGTTACCATTATGTTGCTTCATTCCACAAATGTTTATTGGACACCTACCCTACGCCAGGAAATGAGCTGTGCCCTGGGGTTAATGCAGTGAACAAGCTAACAATCAAGCAGAGTAGAGAGATGTGCTGAAAAAGTAATTAGAAATAGTCAGAGGACCGTGAAAGAGTAGAACGTGCAGTGACAGAATAAAACAGAGGGACCATCTTGGGCTTGGTGGTCAAAAAAGAGCTCCTGGGAAATTAAGGTATAGCTAAGATCTGAAGAAGGAGATCAAGAGTGAGCAGGGACCGGGGGCGGGGTGCGTGCAGGATGAGAATGATGGCATGCCCGGCAGAGGATTTGGCATAAAGCATGTCAAAGACCTATGAGGGCAAGTATTGGTGAGAAGAGGAAGGGAAGTAGGAAGCAGCGGAAGAGGAGGCCGGGGGGGTGAAGAGAAGCCACTTCTTACAGAGGCATAGCGTGAGGGCAGGAGGAAGCCAGGGAAGTTTCTAAATCCGGGTCGAAGGAATTACACCAGCTGCAGTAGGAGATGAGACTGTGGTTGGGATGGGGAGTGAAACGAAGAAAAGAGGAACCGTGGGAAGGGAGTCCAAACAGAAGATGTTGGTTTGGACTAAGGCACCAAATATGGGAGGCATCTGGAAGGTGGAATGAACGGGATCTGATAACCATGAGGGCTGAAGAGCAAGGGGGACAAATATGATACCTCAGTTCTGACCGTGGGAGGAAGTGGGCGGTGGTTCCGTTTCCAGAGAAGAGGAAGGCTGGAGAATAAGCAGATTTGAGGTAGGGAGGGAGGTGGGGGCAGGTGATGAGTTCTGTTAGCACGTGTCAAGTTTAAGATGTCCTTGAAACTGTCAAGTGGAGAAACTCGGACAGCAACAGGATATGTGAGCGGGAAGGTCAGAATAGAGATCTGTAACAGTGAGAGTGGGCAATGTGAAAATGGTTACTGAACAGAAGGAAGTGACCTAAATCATCTAGAGGCATCTTTCTCAAACCTCAGCCACCTGAATACCATCTTCAATATTTTTCCCATATCTGCCTATAGCCTGTATTATAATGTACCTAGAACTTGTTAAGAGAACGCTCTACTTAAAGGAAATTATTTTATAAGGAGCCTTGATCACCATTTTAAATGTAAATTCAGTGGGTAAAAGTGGAAGGTAGTAAAAAATATAGATGACTGTTCATTCTTATTTAATATTTATTCTTGCATCACCTAAAGCTGTGTTACATTCTACCAGCAGTACATGTTCAAACTTTGGAAAATAGTAGCCTAGGGAAAATGCATAAGAAAAAAGGAGGACCTCACACAGAACCTAAACCACCAACATTTAATGGTAGATTGAGCAAGAAAAAACTTAAAAGTAAACAGTCTCTCAGGTTCTATGTGTATTCTGAGACATTTAAAAGAGCAGTATTATAGTTCCTTTAAGATATAAATATATATGGTTTTAGCATACCACAGTGATATAAGGTGCCACCCACTGGGGGAAGCTGGGTCAAGGGTACAACTTCCCGTGAATCTATGATTGTTTTAAAAGAGTGTGTGTGAAATCAGCTTTTTTTTTTAATTCCACAAGTGATTTTTTTTATAGCCTGTTTCATAGAAACAGTGAATAGATTGGTGGTTGCCAGGAGCTAGGGGAAGGGGAAAGTGGCGTGGTATAGGTCAGAGGGTGCAAATTTCCAATTTTAAGAAGAATAAGTTCTGAGGCTCTAATGCACAGCATGGTGACTATAGTTAGTGATACGGTACTGCATGCTTGAAGGTCACTGAGGTAGATCTTGAGCATTCTCCCCACACACACGCACACACACACACACAAGTTAACTCTGTGAGGTGATGGATGTGTTAATTATCTTGATCTTGGTAATCACTCCACAACGCATGTGTATTAAACCATCACACTGTACACTTTAAATATATACAATTATATTTGTCAATTATTCCATAATAAAGTTAAAAAGGAGTGTGTGCAGCAAGATCTTTTTTGACCCACCTCCTAGAGAAATGGAAATAAAAATAAACAAATGGGACCTAATGAAACTTAAAAGCTTTTGCACAGCAAAGGAAACTATAAACAAGACAAAAAACAACGCTCAGAATGGGAGAAAATATTTGCAAATGTAGCAACTGACAAAGGATTAATCTCCAAAATTGATAAGCAGCTCATGCAGCTCAATATCAAAAAAACAAACAACCCAATCCAAAAATGGGCAGAAGACCTAAATAGACATTTCTCCAAAGAAGACATACAGATTGCCAACAAACACATGAAAGGATGCTCAACATCACTAATCATCAGAGAAATGCAAATCAAAACTACAGTGAGGGGGCTTCCCTGGTGGCGCAGTTGTTGAGAGTCTGCCTGCCGATGTAGGGGACGCAGGCTCGTGCCCCGGTCCAGGAGGATCCCACATGCTGCGGAGTGGCTCGGCCCGTGAGCCTGCGCATCCGGAGCCTGTGCTCCGCAACGGGAGAGGCCACGACAGTGAGAGGCCCGCGTACTGAAAAAAAAAAAAAAAAAACTACAATGAGGTATCACCTCACACCAGTCAGAATGGCCATCATCAAAAAATCTACAAACAGGGCTTCCCTGGTGGCGCAGTGGTTGAGAGTCCGCCTGCCGATGCAAGGCACACGGGTTCGTGCCCCGGTCCGGGAAGATCCCACATGCCGCGGAGCAGCTGGGCCTGTGAGCCATGGCCGCTGAGCCTGCGCATCCGGAGCCTGTGCTCTGCAACAGAAGAGGCCACAACAGTGAGAGGCCCGAGTACCGCAAAAAAAAAAAAAAGAAAATCTACAAACAATAAATGCTGGAGAGGGTGTGGAGAAAAGGGAACCCTCTTGCACTGTTGGTGGGAATGTAAATTGATACTGCCACTATAGAAAACAGTATGGTGGTTCCTTAAAAAACTAAAAATAGAACTACCATATGACCCAGCCATCCCTCTACTGGGCGTATACCCTGAGAAAACCATAATTCAAAAAGAGTCATGTACCACAATGTTCATTGCAGCACTATTTACAATAGCCAGGACATGGAGGCAACTTAAGTGTCCATCGACAGATGAATGGATAAAGAAGATGTGGCACATGTATACAATGGAATATTACTCAGCCATAAAAAGAAATGAAATTGAATTATTTGTAGTGAGATGGATGGACCTAGAGACTGTCATACAGAGTGAAGTAAGTCAGAAGGAGAAAAATAAATACCGTATGCTAACACATACATATGGGATCTTAAAAAAAAGGTTCTGAAGAACATAGGGGCAGGAGAGGAATAAAGACGCAGACATAGAGAATGGGCTTGAGGACATGGGTGGGGGAAGGGTAAGCTACAACAAAGTGAGAGAGTGGCATGGACTTATATACACTACCAAATGTAAAATAGACAGCTAGTGGGAAGCAGTCACATAGCACAGGGAGATCAGCTCGGTGCTTTGTGACCACCTAGAGGGGGGAGATAGGGAGGGTGGAGGGAGACGCAAGAGGGAGGAGATATGGGGATATATGTATATGTATAGCTGATTCACTTCGTTATACAGCAGAAACTAACACACCATTGTAAAGCAATTATACTCCAATAAAGATGTTTAAAATTAATTAATTAAAATAAATTTTTTTAAAAGGAGTGTGTGCCTGGGTGTGTGTGTCTGTGAGTGTGAAAGAGAGAGAGAGAGAAAGACACAGAGTACTACAGTGTGAGACACAGAAAAATAACTGGAAAGAAATGTTAATAATAGTAAGCTATCTTTGGGTAATGGGGTAAAGGGTTATTTTTACATGCTCCTATTTTTTCTAAATGTCCAATATTAAACACATATCATTTTTGAAATAATTTTTTTAAGAAAAGCTATTTTTTTCAGCCATAAACATCAGGCAGAATTAGACAAGAGATCCAAAGTTCTGGGGAGTCTTTACAGAGAGAGTGGGAGAACAAATCCTATATTACCGGCTTACATCAGAGGCCAAAAGAAATGACAGATACTAGAGAGAAAAAGAATGCTGCGTGTAGCTGGCAAAACCTCAGTGAGCTTTTAACAAGTATGAAAATGAGGACCTAGTAGACGGATCATCCTGATGTGATTCGCCATCCCTCTGAGAACATCAGAGGAAAAGAATTAAAACCAAAGTCACCAGGAAAGACACCTTCAGCCTCGAGTCCCTCAGTGTAGGCTAAACCGGGAAAGGCAGCCATTCTGGGATCTCTAGCAGCCGACTCAGCCAGACCACGGTGCAATCCCGCCCTCTCCTCCAGCTGAGAGCAGAGACTGATTTCAGGGGACTTGAGGGGACTGCTCAGCCCTGGCATCCTCAGTCTCAGTGGTGATAACTTCCCTCCACTGAGCAGACATGTAGCGTCATGTCAGAATGCTGTCTTGGGGGACTTCCCTGGTGGTCCAGTGGGTAAGACTCCATGATCCCAATGCAGGGGGCCCGGGTTCCATCCCTGATCGGAGAACTAGATCCCGCACGCGTGCTACAACTAAGTCCGCATGCCACAACTAACAAGCCCTCCTGCCACAACTAAGAGCCGGTGCAACAAAAATAAATTTAATTAATTAGTTAAAAAAGAATGCTGTCTTGGACCAACCACCCAGCTCCGCCCCGTGAGAGTCCCTCAGGCAGGTACAGCATAAGAGTCTCCATCGCTAACTGGGCTTTCTCCTAAATCCTCACACAGGGTTCTCTGGTAAACGGAGCCAGACCTTCTGGCTGAGGCCTGGGTCTGAAAGGAATATGTCCTTTCTCATAAGCCTAAACATAATTTGGGGTATCTGACTTAGCCCTCTATAGCCAGTCAGAGATAGTAAAACTGAGCACCTAAAAACACTGCCAGGAAGATAAAAAGCAAGATGGTGGGTCAGGCCCCAAGAAGTCTGGACCTCCTCCAGCTCCGTGGTCTTAAAATATGCAGCAAAAAGAGGAGGAAGACCTCCAGCCATCTCTGACCTTTGAGCAAACAGAGTGCTTTACGCTAGTAAAGGGCTTCTCTCTCTGTCTTATCTCCAGCTCTTCCTGGAGGGAGACAGACACAGGTCCTTTCACCCTCACTGATAGGTGTGACCTCTTGAGGAACAGCCTAGAGAAACATGAAAGGTCTAAGCCTGTAAGAGGAATGTATCATCACTCCTAAAGTGCCTTAGTCATGGCTGTGATGGTTTTTTTTGCAGCCAGCACATGGATGAGTGTTTGGGGTTAAACTAAATGCAGTGAATCAAATGACCTTAACGTTTTTGATGCACTTGGGAAGATATTTCACGAGCTGTGACTGGAACTGAAAATCCCCTCCATTTAGGTGTCTTCACATGTTTTCCTTCAAACTGTTGCTGATGACTATGAACTTGGGTTTGATTCATGATCAAACTTAGGGCTGAACAGTCTTCCAAAGCACATATTTTCTTTTAGCATATTTTATTCCATATTTCTGGATAATCTTATGCTCAGTGCAGCACATAGTGGATACCTCCAATAACAAAGGGATTGTACTCTGAAACCATAACAGTATCTGTATCTGTAGAGAAGTAGGGTAGCAGTTGAGTGTGGGTTCTGGAATCGGGTAGCCAATGAGCTGAATCCTGGTTCCGCACTCATAGCTGCCTAGCTTGGGGCAAATCACTTCATTCTCACTGAGTCTCTGGCATTGCCTCTGTAGGGTGGGAAAGTAATAGTTCATATTCAGTAAGGTCACTGTGAGCACTTAGTGAGATAACCCATGAAAAGATTTAATACAGTGCTCAACTAGTAGCACTGGTAGCAACTTGACATGTTGTTAATAACATGTTTACTATTGCGTATTATCTGTAAAACCGAGGTGGCATGATGAATTCGGGTTTTTTGCTTTTTCTTCTTTATTCTTACGGGACAAGAAACCAAACCAAGATACAGAGACCTCCTTTCTGAACTCGACGAACATACAGAAAATAAGCTGGATTTTGAGGATTTCATGATCTTACTGTTAAGCATCACAGTAATGTCAGATTTGCTACAAAATATATGGAGTGTAAAAATTATGCAATAGGGCTTCCCTGGTGGCGCAGTGGTTGAGAGTCCGCCTGCCGATGCAGGGGACACAGGTTCGTGCCCCGGTCCGGGAAGATCCCACATGCCGCGGAGCGGCTGGGCCCATGAGCCATGGCCGCTGGGCCTGCGCGTCCGGAGCCTGTGCTCTGCAACGGGAGAGGCCACAACAGTGAGAGGCCCGCATACCGCAAAAAAAAAAAAAAAAATTATGCAATAAAGAGCTTTAAATATATAGTTAGACAAATTAATGGCAAAAGACAGTATTAAATTATTGAAATTTTTTTCATTTTATTTTTAATTAATTGAAGGTACTGATCATGCACCTGGGGTAGCCTAGGATGGTTCTGATTGCTAATGTTCAGACCCAGTGTAACTAAAAAATCTATGCCTACTCTTCAAAAATGTTTAAATAATATAGTCTCTGGTGCTTTACAATATGATAGATTTGATACCGCTGAATATTGCATTGCTTTTGCTGCATCAATAGTGTCTTAGAGCACTTTCCTTATAATCATTGAGTCCCTCATTCATTCACTCATTAAACAATGTGTGTTGAACCTCTACTTGATGGTATTGCTGAGGATACAGTAATTAACCAGCCAATCTCTGCCTTCAGACATGCCTGCAGAAGTCCAGCAGTAGAGATAGGCTATGAACAATTCATCAATCAATTGCATATACAGTATAATTATAATTGTGATAAGGGCTACAGGATGCTAAAAGAGCTGTTATCACCAGACCTGGGATCAAAGTCAGATAAGCTCTACTGACATTCTGCAAAAGGCAAAACTATGGGGGGCGGGGTAGAGCGGTGCTTGCCACGGCTGCAGTTGGGAGATGGAGTTGTCCACAAATAGGCACAAAGGAACTTTTAGGGAGGATGGGAATGTTCTATAGCTTGATTGTGGTGATGGTTACATGACTGCACACATTTGTCAAACTCTTAGAACTGCACACTAAAAAGGGTGAATTTTACTGTATGTGAATTCTACCTAAGTAAATATGACTTAAATCCCCCAAATCCCAATATTTTTGTAATTTCTGGCCATGATTTAACCAACGACTCCTTGAGAATATGATCTAAAGGTGGGCATGTCTTAAAGACACACAGCCCCTATGGCTATACCTATGTTCCTGAGTTTAAATTATACACACACACCCATCAATGCCTGAATGTTTGAGATAGACTTGCACAAAGACTTTTACTCATTATAATATTATTGTAGCTTCCTGAGTTCCCTCCCCCATCTCCTCTTTTCTTCCCAGCCCAACACGTTAAGGATCCCTTTCCAAAGGGAGACCTCTGACCCTGGTCTGGAGAAGCATTATCTCATCTTGCAGTGTTCCAAATCCACCAAGACCCGACTCCTTAGTCCTCCCTACTTTCCAAACCTTAGGCATTCTAAGTCCAAGAGTTTATGTACCATGTCAGGGAAAGCCCCAGACTTTACTCTGTCACCATCTTAATAGGTGGAATGTGTGTTCAACAAGACTCAACCCATGTGCCAGGTACTGTTTTAGGGGCTTTACAAATATTAACTCCCATCATGACCCTCTGAGGTAGGTGTTAGTATTATCATCTCACAGATGAGGAAACCAAAACACAGAGGTTTTGATTTTCCCAAAGTCACACAGCTGGCAGGTTGGAGAGTTCTCTGCCCTCTCTGTGGGCATTGTTGATTTTGTTTTAATATTAGACTTCTTCATGAGCAATAATATAATTTAACAAAAATAACTGTGCACATTTCAGGCACTGTGTGAGAGAGAGCGTGGTACCAGCTGGGTCCTGGAGAACCATTTGGCATTCCTCAAATAGAATCTGTGGGCTGTGCTCCCTCCAAGCCCTTTGTATTTTAGTCACAAGTAGCTGAATATGGCAACCTTGGTGACCAATCGAAAGGTCAGATTCACACCTTTCAGAAAAGGAAAAAAGAGACCCTGGCCAATGGTGCGAGGAGGAATCTTGGAGCCATTCCAACCCTTGGGGCTCCCAAAGGATTTATGATTCTCCATCCCAGATGGGAAATCACACTCCTCTGAGGGGGAAATCAATTATAGAATCTATTTTAGCCTGATGCAAAGAATGAAAACAGAGCAAAAGCTCTCGGAGCATCAGTGACAGATAAATTGACGAGCACTGTGCTAAGACCCTAGATCACAGGAGCCTCACCTCTTGGTTCTGGTCCCAGGACCATGAGCTCTACTCTTCAAACAAAGGTTCCATCTTGAAAATATGACTGGTCATCACAGGTGATGATGGATGCAAATCTGTCCTGGTATCCCTTGGTCGCAAAGAACAAAGCGCGCTGGAATCACACACACACATACACATATACACACACACACGAAGGAAAAAGGCACAGGTCGTATTTATCAACAAAGTACAGCAGCATATAACAAAATGAAAGGGCAGAGAATGCAACTAATGTCCACGAAACACTGGAAACAGCGATAGAAAGCAAAATCAAGATTTTGCTCTTAGTGTCTCTTAATGGATTGGTTTCTTGGCTCTGCTTCTGTCTGCATGTGGCCCCTCCCTCATTTCCATCTCTACCTCTCTCTTTATCTGTACCTCTTGACTAGTTGTTTTTTTGGTGGTTTTTGGTTTTTGGTTTTCTGTGTTATTTTTTTCTGATTTTAGGCCCCAAAGCCAAACACATTGTCCCCATTGCTGGCTTCACTTCTCTCTTTAAACACTCAACCAACACTCACTAGCATCTCAGAAGCCCAGTTCCAATCCCCCAGAGCAAGAACCCGATTGGCTGGATTCAAGTAGGGATCATTCCAGATCTAGCTGTCTGTGTTCAGGGATGCAAGTCGTGTGCCCCCTCAGCAGGGCCTGTGGGAACTGACTCTGCAAAGTACATGGACAGGTTCTCAAAGAAGGAAGGGAGGAGCCAGGGAGGAAATGACTGACAGAAAATTATAAGAATCTCTAATACAAAATCCATAACTTGGATAAGAAGGGCAGTGTTATTTGCTTCTCAGGCATGGGCTCAGCAAACATAGGAATTGATGGAATAATTTCCTTTGTTACTCCAAGTAAAATCTTTCTTGTATCACTGTATAAAAGGAGCAAACCTGAGCCTCCCTGGGAAGGTTTCCTGTGATTAAATGTAGTTAAGATCTTCCTATACAAGAGCTGTGAGCACCCTTGCAATTTGGTGAGCAGGACATACCCAGTCCTGGAACCCCTAATTTTCTTTATTTTAGTCTCTAAAAATGGGTCCAAGTATGAGATCAGGAATTGTGCTTTAAATAGTCCTTCGTGAGAAAGGGGGAAAGTGCTGGAAGGAAACCAACAGGAGTCCTGCACGTCAGCTGACCTTCGGCACTGGTAAAGCTAACGAGAGTTCTCAGCGGAATTCTGAGCGAAGAGAAGGAAGGCCAGTTCACTGAATCTGGCAAAAGCTGACACAGTCCACGGACAAGGGGCGAAAGTAACCCAGCAAATTGGCCTTGAAAGACTTATTGTGCCAGTCTCTTTCCTCTAATTTCAATCTAGGACACATGGATTCAGATTTCTCTTTGATCTTTTGTGGGGTAGAGTTTTGAAATGACCAAATTCTGGCGTAAAGCAGGGTCTCTGCCTGGTCTCCACCACTGCGCACTTGAGGCCTATGTTCCTGTCCCACGTATTCAATACTTCATCCACAATTCTGAATGTAAGGACAGTGGACACTGAAGTTTTTCATATTCATTTGGTGACAAAACATGAACCGTAACTAACTAGAGGCTCTTGGTGGTCTTGATTTCTCCCACTTCGCACAAATGTTCAGATGGTATGGCTGCGGGGTCTATGCCTCTGGAGGAATCGCTGGCCTGGAGAAGCGGACCAGTCCAGAGGGCTGGACTCTGGTCCCAGCTCCACCACCACCAGCCCTGTGGCCCTGAAAAAGCCCTCCACCTTTTCTGAGTGAGCCTCATATTTTTTCAAATATAAATGTGGGATCAGAGTGGGACCTATTTTCTTAGACAAGTCACTGTGAGACTTAAGGAAGCATATAAATACTTCAGGAATGCAAAGTGGGCCTGTGTACATGTCTCATATCCACTCTGATTTGTCTAATTCTGGACAAGTGGTCATTATCATTATTCTTGCTCATGGCTGCCCCTAATAGAGCATCTACTACACTCAGGTATTGCCAGATGGTCCTCTGCTTAATTCCCTAAACAACCGTAAGAGATTGGTATTATGATCTCTATTCCACCAAAGAGAATGCAATTTAGAGAGGTCGAGTGACTTACCAGGGTCACAGAGCAATAAGTGGAAGATAAAACCCGGGTTCCAACCCACGTCTATCTCGTGCCACAGTCTGGCTCCTTTCTGTGAGGACACGTGTGGATATAAAACTTCCCAAAGGAGAGCATCCCCATGATTTACAGCTTATACCTGATTATAATTAGCTGTTCTCCAAAACAAGGAGGAGGGAGAGAGAAAGAGGAAGAGCAAGCAGCAGCATCTCACGCGTCCAGAACCCAAAGGGAATCAAGAAGCATTAAGGGAAAAAGCAGTAACAGTATAACTTGGTTTTCCTTGCCTTTCTATGTCATTTAGGAAGGCAATTCTTCCTTTGGGGAAAGGCCATGGAATTTTAAAATCTGTGTGGTCTGTAGCCCATGGTTTTGCTTGAAGAAAGTATAAGTGGCAGGAGGGAGGCCATGGAAGAAGGGAAGGAAGGGCAGAAGGGCCCTTGGGAGAGGAAGGGATTCCTGACATGCACCTGCTAGGCGCGGCGTTGCGGATGCTGACGTGGAGGGCAGAACCTGGACTTTTCTTCCCGGCTTTGCACCTGATCCCCTGCTTCCAGGTCTCAGATTCTTCCTCACTTAGTGAAAGGGTGCCCTGTGACCGGATGTTCCCCAAATCCCTTCCCATTCTGAAATAATCTTTTGTATTAACCAGGACTTTTTTTTTTTTAAGAAAATTATAGCAAGTGCCAGTGACCATATGGACAAATTTTAATCACTTAAAAAGCTGTCTCTGGGGCTTCCCTG